ATTTAAATCCGGAAAAAAATATTTTTTATTTATTTCTTTTTAGGAAAATTTACAGCGAATTTTTAACAATAAATAAATGTTGAGTAACTGGTGAAAATGCTTATTACAAATCTCCACAAGTAGCACAAAAAATAAGTTATTAAGTTTTTAGTCAGCAGAAACAAACATTATTATTGGAATGTATATTTATGTAATATTGAGTCCTATATAACCCAACCAACAACACGCACATCTTAAGACAGGAAACAAAATAATGAGAGATAGATAATTACGTAAAGTATTGTTTAGTAAACGTTCGACGAATCAAGCTTACGCTAGTACAGAACAGATCTATGTCAATAGACGTTTGATTGTACTCCTTAATTGCTTTTATGTAAAAAGAATTTTGCCTATAATTGGTCGTCGCCCCGGGCACACACAGCACCTGTCGACGCCTGAGACTCAGCTGGTTAGTCCTAAAGGATAATTTAGACAGTAGTTCCGACGAGTCAATTTTACTGTTTATTATGTTATACAGGAAATGTCACTAACTTTTCGCCTATAATCGAGAGGTACAAGATGATAACGCTTACAACGCTCCACTTAGCCCAACGTTCGCTGTTTTGTCTTATAATCTAAATACATTAAAAACTTTTTTTGTATGGCTTCAATACGTGATTTGTAAACTTCGTATCTACGGTTCGACACCTGAGAAGCATATTCGAGAGCACTCGCACAGAGATTCGAGAACACAAGAGAACAGTACAATATTTTAATAGTTTCATTTCCTATGTGTAACAATCGCGAAAACCTAAAATTCGCATAAGATTATTTCTAAACGTCGAAGTCCAAATTTTTATATATAATTTTTAGATCAACGAATTTTCGTGATTTTTTAAAATGAAAATAATTTAATTAGTCATAATTTTCAATAATAAAATTGCTAATTTACTATTTGACGACTCCCTACGACCTTGAATTTCCAGTGCACCTTTCCGTTACACTCTGTATATCTTTTACGTTAGAATTTGTAATTAAAAAACGAACATGTAAAATGTACCGTTTGCACATAAACATTTAACTTTTCAAGTAACGTAATTTCCGACTCAAGGGCCCTGGCCAGACCACGACAGAAATGATGAATGAGTGTAATCGTGTATAATGGCGTTAACGCTATTAATTCAAATTTGCTGCTGTTTTAAGGCTATTGTTTTTGTTAACCAATAAACCAAAACAAAATGCCTGTTTTCGGCACCAATTTATTGATATGAACTACCTGACTATATCAAATCTACATTATTATTAAAATCAACATTATTACAATTGCATAGAGTTCTGAATTCTAGTTTCAAATATGTGACAAAGCAATAAGATAAAATAACAATAAAATATAAATTAAATTTTTATTGAATTGATATTTAATTATTAATTTAAAGTTTTTTTTTAAGTTTAAATTTAGTTGAATAAAAATGTTTATATTGTAAAAATTTTATTAATATAAATATAAAATTTTTGCCATTGCCATTTCTCTCTCACTGGAGCTCACTGGTAGTAACTATTGCATATTTGCTTGTTCGCGCTATGCAATCGCAGTAGTAGTAGTATAACAACAATAGTTTAGACAGTTGTGCGTAATAATTATGCATTAAATTATCTGCTATAATGACCACTTTGAGGTCCTGCGTTGGCAATTTGTGGGGAATTCCCCAAATTGCGGGGAATTTCAACGAATTTCAACTAGATTGGGGATTTTGTGGGGATTAGCGTTATGTGGGGATTCTAACATTTTATCATTTTATTTCATTTTATTTAATCTATAGATTGCTGATGCATCGCTAGTTTGATCGTTACTGTTAGAAACACTGTGATGAACTATATCGATGTGTTTTTCAACATCGCACATCCCTCGCATTAATAACAAGCAGCTTAAATAGAATTATTATCAGACCCCTTTGTTCTGAATTGTGAAATTACTTTATATTATTATTATAAATTAGTTAATATGTAGTCGGTGCGTGTGGAGTTCGCGATCCTTTCTCCCGCTTTGCCCGGTCCCCGGTATGAAGAAAGCAGCTATTGAGAAACAAAGACGAGCAGTTGGTACTTCCACACCACAACTTACCACTCGTCAATGTTAAATATTAATATCTTAGGTCGAAACTTAATTTACTAATTGATTATTTCTAACATTAACATAGTGTCACCAAATAATTAATGTTAGTTAAAAGGTTACATAATTTTGTAATGCAAACAAAATTGTTTTTTTTTTTTTCAAAGACTGATTAATGTTGAATGTCATTAAAGTGAAGGTTATCTAATTTTATAATTTGCTTTACATTCTGTTTACATTAACAGTAACCGTAACGTGTGCGTTGTCAAAAGATGGTTACAATTTGAGTTTCTTAATTCTTTATTATTTGAGGGGAATATGAACTTTGCTCTCCCCAAATTTGGGGATTTTGAACAATTGACATTGGCAACGCTGCTAATAGGCTGCTATAATGTTCTGAGCAAACGTCATTTTCGATTTGACGTTTTCAAAATATTGCATTGCAGCATGTTATTTTATGCGAATTTGTCGTAATAACTCTTTAAAGATGTCGAAAGTTCGGCAAATATTGAATACGACCTACTGTCGATATTATAACGTACAGCGCGCAAGTAAGAAACTTCCGATTATATCTTGTGAACGGCCGGAATTTAACCATTACGACGGTCAAAGTTACAGCAAGTTTGAGGGGATACCATTGGCTTCTAAAGGCTGGTTGAACAACAAATCTAAGGGGGATTACTTTGTCGTTCACGGAAACGCCAATAAAAAGGAAGAACAAGAAGTATATAAGAAAAGTTTTGCTGAAATCGGTCTTAATGCTGAGTTAATAGAGGTTATGTCGCATCAAGGCTTTTCATTGCCAACTGCGATTCAGGCGAAGGCAATACCGTCTATTCTTAAAGGCCATAACACTGTAGTAACAGCTGAGACGGGGTGCGGGAAGACTTTGACTTATTTACTCCCGATTTTTCAACATCTCTTGGAATGGAAACCATCCTTAGAAGATGATTTTAATAGTCCATTGGCTGTTGTTATTACGCCGAGCAGAGAATTAGGTAAGACTTTTAAACCATGCGTTCATGTAAAATCATTAGAGGCATACAATTTTGTTGGAAAACCTTTTTGCTGATACATCTTGTATGTAGGTTGTCTGTGATTATTTCAATTTTGATTTAAATTTTTAGTGTCATGATGGCTTACAGAATAAATACATTGATTTCCTCATAATGACTACTTGCTTTATTTTTATTTCTGCCGAGATTTTGTGGGATAAGAGACTCCTCTCTTCATAAATTTACCTTCCAATTTTGATACCGCTGTATCCTAAAACCACACAGTGTCTCTAACATTAAAAAAAATGTGAAAAAACTTACCAAAGCCACATATTAGTCAGTAGGACATGTGTTGGGCTAATATTTGGTGATGTAGAGCTTTAGAATCGCTGAGTTTGAAATTGGGGGGAGGGGTTGCTGAGGTAGGGTACGATATCTCCCTTGTGAAGTTTCGAATTTAGGATGTTAATATGATTCTTTGATCTTTATGATTTAAAGCTCTGAGTGGCACTGCAACTGTTATGGATAGGCGTGTTGCTTACCATCTGGCCCACGACTTGAACGTCCCGTCACTTGATACTACAAAAAAAATTTACATTATGTCTAACGAAATATTTTAATAGGACATTATATATGGACAGTTTTCGCAGTAGACATTATTCTAACTTTTAAATTTGGACATTAATTGTATAAAATCTTTCTTTTCTATTTCTGATTATCAGAACTTGAAGCTGTGGTAGTGACATCAAATGCCTTAAAAATGTTTTTGTATAACCATTATATTAAAACATAAAACCAATATTCTATTTCAGCTACTCAAATAGGGGAAGTGGCTCAAAATATTGGTCACCACCTAAATCTTAATGTAATGACCTTAGTTGGAGGTAGAACAAAACAGAAGATGTTAAATCCACCAATAGAATACTGCGACATGCTTGTAACAACACTTGGAGCATACAGTAAATTGGTGACTACAGGAATATTCAAGATACATAATGTACATCATCTGGTTTTGGACGAAGCTGATACGTTATTGGATGACAGTTTTATTGAAAAGCTTTCAATGTTGTTGAGGAAATTTGCTGTAAGTATTATTGCTTGATTTCAGTGGTATTTTATAGACAGTTGGATGAATATTATGATATGTGTAAGGATGATAGTTAAGCTCGGTGCTCTCTGACTGGACGGCACTGCGGGGAATTTTTAGGTGATGATTTGTAATATAACTCTATGGTATGACAATTATAGTTGAAATTTCAACAATAGTAGAAAGCCATGAAAACAAAGCTGCGGTAAGCTTAGGAATACCGATCGGCTCCTGAATGCCTCGGCAGCCTTGGGGATGCTTCGGCGGGCTTTTACGTTTGACATTACGACTGATTTGAATAGGGGCTAGAAGCGATTTGTACACTTCGGCATACAGCTCCACCATCAAAATGGAGATTTGGTAGTGGACTTTAGAGTCAATGACTTAGCAGTGGCAACCATTACTTGTGCAGTGCACAAGGGGAAATGAGCGTGTACCCGGGGCAGCTCACCCAGGGCACTAGCCTTTTGAGAACTGGATGAAATCTGTGACTGGGCTAATCTGGGGTCAGGACCTGACTGAGAAGCTCACTGTGCGGGCTTGCTTGTACAGGTTACAGTGCCCTTCTCGTATACCCTAAGCACCGGTAGGGAGGATCACTATAATTAAAACTTATATAGAAAAAAAAGGGAATGTACACTTCCGCATGCCTAAGGATACTGCTACATATTTGCCATCAGTGTGCGCTTACATGTAAGGATGCCGAAGGATCCCGAGCCATACCTTCCCCCCAATGGGCGCCGCCGGGATTAATCTATTGTGAGAAATTGTATTATAAAATGAACAGAGACATTTACTATAATCATAAGGTTAATGTATTTCATAGCCCTGTTTTCATACAAAAGATTTTATTAAAATAAAATAAAATAAAAAAAATAATTTGTTTAAATAAAATAATTTGTAAAACGTAATGTTGCGTAAATTCGAATGTTTCTTTGTAAAATTAAAAATAAGGTATTTTATTAATAACTTTTGTAACTATAGTGAAAAAATAGGGTGGTTTGCATTAATATCGGACATAACTGGTGGATGACAGTAACATCTCAGTCAAACGTGACCATGGGACCTATACAACGCCCGAAACGTTGGTTTCTTTGAAAAAAATAAATATAAAAAAAATAAAATGAGTTATATAGTTAATACTTAATATATACCTTTTACAAATTACATCACATTGTTGTTCTAATTTCAGATCCAATACAAAGTTGATATACAAGTGCCACCGCAAGGCTGCCAGTTGACCTTGGTCAGTGCAACCATGCCCCATGAGTTGCCTGAAGCTGTCAACTCATTTGTCGATCCCGAGTCATTGAAAAAAGTTACAACTTCTAATATTCATAGAATATTGCCACATGTACCTCAAAAGTAAGTTTTACTCTTTGTGTTTTTAGTTACTAAGTATTATACAATGTGTTGATTTGCATTCTCGCCATACTTATATGTCTACATCAGAAACTGAACCCAAATCACTAAAAAAAAGAAAAAAAAATTTCGCAAATTCCTATTATATATTTAGTTGCGGTAAAGAAACTTGATCCAACGGTCACGGTCAAGGACTTGCACGGTACTTGCAAACTTTTTGAACAATGACCTTAAATACGCAGAAAGAAACGCATTTTAGATCTATTTGGTGGTGGGGTGCGGGTAGCGACGACGGCGGGGAGTGTCGTATCGAGCGCACGATTGGTAGATCAGTCGACTTTGCTTCCCGTACTGTGTCTACGTCACGCTGACATCCCGCATACATTTTTTTTTTATAACATCAAGTGACGGGACGAACAAGTCGTGCATCTGATGGTAAGCTACACGCCTGTCCATAAGAGTTACAGAGCCACTCAGAGCTTTAAATCGCACATATCTGAGGAGCACTACCACTGCGCCTGTCACCCTGAGACTAATTTTACCAGTACCCTTACCATTCAAAACCGGAACACAATAATGCTGACATTACTGCTTGGCGGCAGAAATAGGTAAGGTGGCAGTACTACTCTGGACGAACTCTTTCACACGGAGCTCTACTGCTACTAAACTACTACATTCTATTCTAGTCTGTCACGAAATGCCACGTGGTGTGGTATGTAAACAAGAGTTAGTAGTGCAAAAAAGAACCGCTATCAGGTTCACCAGAACCTGCATGTTAATCCATCAAGTACAAGTGCGTGTCTATTCTTATGGCATGATTTGAAACGTTTAGTTTACGCGGAGGATACGAGTGTCGAAGTTTCTGCTTTCAAAGTTGTGGACTCTAATGTTGAAACGAAACTCACGTGCGAATCTCTGCATAGCTGTCATGTGGAGCCAGGTACTTCTAGCAATACTTTCATGTAACCTAAAATTGGTGAGTACCAAATATACGTTACAAAAAACTCAACTTTTCAGTCAACTTTTTAAATTATAACAATACCAGTACTTAATCATAATTAAAAAAATAGATAAATAAGCTATCGAGAAAGATTGACATTGCCCTTGCGTGGTGCATACGACGTGAGACAATTTTGCAAAACTTTTTACTATAGTCCATTTGTTTAGGTACTTTACTAAATGTAAACAATCTTGATACATCTTTTTATTGAAACACATGCTTTACAAATCAATAGGTATAACAATATGCATGCAATTTCATATGAAGCTAGGTATTTGTATTTGGTATTTGAAGGTAAGGGAAAATCATTTTATAAATGTATATTTCATTAAATAGACATCTCAAGATTGTTTACATTTATTTAAGTACCTAAACAGATGGACTATAGATACAATTAGCCAGAATTCAATATTCTGGCTACTTAATAATTTTCACTATTAACTAACTACACAATAATTTTTTAAATATTTTAAAATGATTTAGCTATATTTCTATTATTAATTTCTTAAATATGGCGAGAATGCAAACACACTGTATTTAAATCGTACCTCCTTCGTCAACCCATTTGTACGTCCTACTGATGGGCACGGGTCTCCTCAGGCGAGAGTTTAGGCCACATTTCGCTACGTTGGGTTAATACGGGTTGGTGACTTCACACGTTTCTGAGGATTGTGAACCTTCTTCGACGTGCAGGTTTTATATACGAAGTTTTTCTTCACTGAAATGCTCATAGTAAATTTCAAATTAAATTTCGCACATAAATTCTGAAAAACTCAGAGGTGCGCGCCCGGATTCGAATCCACGGCCTTTGCTTCATTCTAATGGTTCGTCCTACCGTTTAAAAAAGTCGTGCCTAATTTTGTAAAATTACGTTCCATGTTTTAATTTAGAATTGTAATCAGTTAATATTAATGTTGACGAAGTTATTTCGCGAAATAAATAAATTATTAGTTAATTTTTTATATTGCTTGTTTTTACTCTCTCACATAGTACACCCATAATACTCGTTGAATAGCAGAACCTATAGAAACCGATTGATACTGGGTAAGTCCTAAAATGGCACCGCCAATATGTACAGAGAAGACGATATTGCTTGTTAGTACTTCTTAAATCTTATATTCAAATTAATATAGTTGCTACTTACACTATCAATAACAATATAATAGCTTTGTTATGATTATTAATACTGAGATCGAATACTTGGAAGAAATTCCTTCGATCCGGTTGCATTCGAACCGACGTCTTCTAGCAAACCGTGGCAGACGCTATGCCAACTAAGCCACGGAACGAACCAGCGGACCTCTTGAATTTTTTTATGCGCTTGTTTGTCGGATCTTTGTATTTATTTGCTACTGCTAGACTAGTTTAGTTACTTCCATAGTATAATGTCCTACGGGATTCTCAAGTGGGGTAAAGCGGCAGATATACAAACCATATTTGTGTTGCAAAAACGAGCGATTTGTTCTGTGTACTGTTTAGGCTCTCGGGTTTCTCTCAGAGAAAAGGAAGGAGATTGGTATCACGACTGTGGCATTGCAGTACATTTACTCAAATATTTTGTATGCCCGTAAAAATGTACATAATTTCATTAAGAAAGAAGATATCCATAATATTAATCTTAGAACGATGTCCAAACTCATGGTAATTCGATTTCGTTTAACTAAGGTAAACGATTCTTTAATGGGGAACTGTATACGTTTTTACAATAAGATTCCGGAGCATATATTAAAGTTATCATTTCCTAAGTTTAAAACTTACATTAAAAGTATTTTAATTGAAAAGTCATATTACAAAATTGAAGAGTATGTTTTAGATAAGAAGTATAGAAAGACAACAAGAGTCTAGATTCCGCACAATTATGATTCAAAGTGTATTCCATAGCATTTAAGTTTATTTGAAAAGAGCAATCCCTAGAGTTTCTTGCTTGTTCTTTTCAGGGAGGTCAGCGTAGTGGACGAGTTGTAACTTAAAAAGTAGCTTAAAAATGACGCTTTCAGGTGTAAAAATTTTACCTATTGATTAAATGATTATTTGTCTTTGGTTTTCAACGACTTCTTAGCCCTGGCCCCATTTATGAGAAACTATGAAAGTATTTCGTCACCCAGTTACATACCTTTATAGCTACCAGCCCTGGCTAGAGATGTTAACTTGTAATTAAATGTTTTATTTTTTTCGAAAGAACTTTTTCCGAGTGTTCGATTTTTGTATTAATAATTATATCAAAACTAGTGGAGTAATTTCACAAAAAGTAATTGAATATTGTGGTGGTGAAACATCTGACTACACACGAGTTACTCCCGGAAATTATGCAATTTGAGTGACGCCAAGGAAGCTACACTCTCTGCGCTTCGATAACGTGTCGATTTTCTAATAATAATTATTAATATCTATCCCCCAGGTTCCTGCGTCTGGGCAAAGCACAAAAACCCCTCGAACTACTCAAATTAGTACAAGCAGATATTAACCAAAAACGGCCAGTCATGATATTCTCCAACAAAACAGCCACCTGCGACTTTGTGTCCATGTTTCTCAACGAGAACAATATCGAATGTGTAAACATTAACGGGCAGATGCAAGTTATGTTGAAAATGGGAAAATTCGACCAGTATAAAAGTGGCAAAGTCAATGCATTAAGTTGTACTGACATTGCGTCGCGTGGATTGGATACTACTAGGGTAAGATTTTTTTATTATCTTTTGTAGGAATTTGTTGAAATTTTATTTCTCGTAAAAGTGCTAATGAGTATGACGAAATGTCGAAGGCACAGATGAGAATCTGTAATATCAGTTCAAGGTTCGCTGTTTTTCTTTTATATTTAAAAGACAGTAACTTGGTGAACGCCTTTTAAAAATCACGCAGTCCATTTAGATTGAAACAATTTTTCTTTGTGTTATATGACCTTGTATCAATAATAATAATTTGTTCTTTTTTCCTTGGTTCAGACTCAACACATAATAAACTATGATTTCCCATTGTATACCGCCGACTATATCCATCGCTGCGGCCGCACGGGTCGCATTGGCTCACCTGCCGACTGTATGGTCACCAACTTCATTGCCTGGCCTCGAGAGGTAAGCATTTATAGTCTAAAGGAATTCAACAACTGTTCATCGTTGTCCCCTTTATAAGTCTTTAGTCATGGTGCAAGTTAGGGGCTTAACCATGTAACTTGGAAGCCAATCTGAAATTCATGGTGTAAAGTCAAATCATGTACATTTCCGGAATGGATTCTCTGCATTGTTATGAAGCTCATATTGAGTGGAGACGAGGTAGCTCGTCGCGCAATCTGAATAGATTAATTACAGTTTTAACGACTTATGTAAATGTAATATTATGGCGAAAAATCCGACCCCACCACGTGGACGATGTTAAATAAACTGCCCGTATAGTAACTTTTGCAGGCACTGGCAACCCAGCCATGTAACTTATAAATTGAAAGCGCTACAACACTCAATTTATACAGCTGAATTATTTAATACCTAAGTAGCGTATAGGTATTATATATAAATTAAGTATAAGTTTATTCATTACTTTCCATTTTGTCGACAGATTCAAGTAGTTCAAAAAATAGAGAAATCAATTCGCCAACATAACGAGCTTCCCAGCGTGAATGCGAACATTAGACGTATCATACAAGAACGAATTGTGAAGAGCGCTGATCCTTTGAGAAGCGTTGGATAAAGTAGATTACAGCATACATAAATAATTATTGTTAAATCAAATGTTAGTTTTATTATATGATAGTTATAGGATAGTAAAGGTAATTTATAATAACATTTTGGTTTTTAACTAAGTCGAAATCTGTTCCTGTAGTACTGGGTTAGGCATGGTGTCCTACAGGGAGCATCCCTAGAGCCAAATTATTATAAAAGTCAGAATTGACTACGTTGCGGCTACAAAAGAAACAATAACAGAATTGATTTTAAAATTTTAATCTCATTATTCCGCACACTCAACTAATTTACCCGTACATTTTATCTAGATTTTAACATAAAGAGCTCAGTTATATAAAATTTGAACACGTCTCTAGTACCACTCTTAAAATAAGGGCGAAAGTTCTGATACATTTTTCTTTATCTAAAAATAAATTCTTATACTAATTAATATTTATATTGCTTCCAAGTTTAACGCTACAATTAATATTTAATGGCCTTATTATGTAAACATTATCAATATAAAATAGAAAAAAGGTCATAAAATATAATAGATACCACAAAACCCTCTAGAATCGATAAAACTATTATGTTATGATTGACGTCCAAGGCGTCGATGAGTTTCTATGTTAACTGGCTGTTGCCTTAATAGAACAGTAAGGTAAAATAAAAGACCCCACACTAACCACGCTTCGGCTTTAATACGAACGCTAGTGCTAAAAGTGCCATAAATGTTAGAAATCAGACTATACAGCGTCAAACGTCTAAGTAGGCCACTTTTAAAAAACTAAACCAACCAAGGTAGCTGTAAAATTAGCAAAAGCAATCTAAAATCTACTCTTTGGTGTTAATATTCCTTTTTTTCTTTCATGATAATCATGATGTCTTTGCACATACTACTTTATTTACACAACAATACAATCTACACTAAATACTTGATACGATTGATATACTTTGAAGACCTCTTGAGCGTGATAAGTAAAGTTATGTACGTTTTCTATAAGAAAATATTGCTATACATTTTAATATGCTACAGGGAAATGACTTATATTTGGGATCTCGACCTACGTCCAAGCTACAAACTAGAATCTACTAAGTAGCAGAATATTACGGAAACTTAATTTTTCTAAATCACACCTGATGTAAAGCGATAATAATATGATCGACGATGGTACGCGTTTATGACTTTCCAAAATATTCTCAATTTTACACAAGTAACGTACAAAAACAAATAGTGTTATTGGCGTTTTATAATAGTCATCTAAAGCTTTCAAACTTGGATCAAAGCCGTATAGTAGCAACCCTTCCGTGGTTGGACCCTTCAAACTGGAGCCAGCTCTACATTTACATTATCTAGTCTTTACCACGTTTGTATGTTCTCAATTCCCCGAAGAAGGCCCTGGTCTAGCATCTTCAGTGGATTTCCATCTACTTTCCAAGATAGCTTTTCCCTTCTGCTCTTGATTCGAAACATTTTGATGACTGTATCTTCTTTGTTCGTCAAAAACTTTGGGCGTTATACTAAAAACGCTATCTGTACTTGTCTTCCTTCTATCCAGAGTTGTTAGGCTTGCTCCTTTTGGAGATATTCTATGTGGAAACCTAGGCGAACCCTTGATTTTTTCATATGAATTCTGATGCGATATCGGTTTTTCGTTCATTGGTAATACGAAATTGACCTTCGTTTCTGGTTCAGCAACATACTTTTGTGTACTTACTCTTCTTTCTGGCTGATAATTTGAGCAACTGGGTTCATCGTCAGTTATTCTTATAATAGGCCCACTTCTAGCGAACGATTCTCTCCGTAATTTCATTTCTGGATTTGGTACGTGCAAAGTATTGCAAGATAAGACCATGGAGTGTTTTCTGTTCCCTGGTACAAGACCAGTGATCATTCCCACGTGCATTTTAAACGCTGCCGCTATACTCTGTCCTGTAGGGTCAGCTATAGACATTGTGGAAGCTTTTCTGCTCTGCGGTCTACTGTGGCCGAAGAAACTCTTTAGTCTTTTAAGCAGACCAGGATTTTCTTCCCTCTTGTTTAAACAGAAGTTATATAAGTCTATAGCTGGTTGGGATTTTCTGTAGTTCAATTTTGGTTGGGAACTGAAGCTGACGGAGTTTCTGCTTCTGAAGGCTTCTGCTGACGGCCAACTGGCTCTAGGAATGACCGGTGGCAGAACGGAGAGGAGAAGCATTGGTAGACCTCCTGTAATACTTGGGGTTCGTCTATCGGGGTCTTTTCGGCTGCCTTCTTCATCTAGAGTATTTAATTCCGTCTGAAATGAATTTGAGATTTAATTAATATTATGCACGAGTGGAAACCATAAAATTGAGGTAGAGGCAGATTGGTTTTTAATCATAATATTTATATTTATTTTGCGATCAGGAAAATTCTAGCGTGTATAGTGTATGTTGTATAATAATAAATCTTTACTCACTCGTCTATGCAAAGCGATAGAAGCATTAGAACTGCTGGTTGATAGTGGTTCTGCAAGCAATTTTTCTAGTCTACCAATCTCTTTATCCAACGCTGCCACTTCTCTCTTATACACTTTGTTTTGTATTTCTATCCTGAAGTGAAGCTCTTGGGTGTCGTCGGTGACGAATCTTCTTGTTTTACATTCTAATTTTAGGCCCATGCTTTGTATTACGGGGTCATCTTCGGCTGGAAAAATTGGTGAGAAGTCAGAAGCTCGTAAGGATTTCGGTAAAAATGCTGTTGTTTTCTAATAAGACGAGTAATTCTCTAATGAGTTGTTAAATCAATGCATGAGTTGTCTCTGATATATAAATGAGTAGCTTTTGGACAGATACCACTAAACCTAAATGTAAATTAGTAGAATGCCCAATTATCACCTCGGTATACTTACTTTTATTTTTTCTAATAGCAATAATCTTAGGCAAAAACAGCAAACATAACGTTGACGTTGTTGTTATAAGAATCAAGCTGGTTATAGTAATATAAGCCAACGTTGCCCGCTCGGAAATTATAGTGCCAATAACGACCACACTTGCACTTGTTATCACAACTGAATAGACACTAATTCCAATGTATTTAGAGTCGTTGAGTGCCGAGATTTTGACGTTTCGGGTTTCCCAGGCCATGTAGACGCCGACGATGAGAAGAAGGCCTTTGTAGGCGTATAAGGCGCAAAGCCAGCCCGTTGTGTTTTGGGATTTGCAGATTTCTATCTGAAAAGAGATTATTGTTTGGCTGACATTTTTTTTCCAACAGTCATCATGAATCCTCGTCGCACTGCTGGGCACAAGTATACTCTAAAGAGATGTTTAGGCATACGAGTAGCACCTACGATAAAACAAGTGTAGTGCAACTCCCACCTATTTGTCGCGTTAATGCCTACACGTCTCTCGTAGCATAGGGTTGTCACATTATTATTTTAATTGTACCTACAGGTATAAAATAAAGTATTCATATGTATTAATCACAGTATTCCCATGCTATATGAAAATAACCTTTGTCAAGTGCAATACTTGCATATTGGTATTTTTAAATAGAAATTAAATGCTGAATAATTCTGAATCTGAGGCACTCTTCTTCAAACAATCATAAAGACAACAACAAACACACAACAGCGAACGCTTCAGTTCTATAATGAGTGGTGCATGCGGTAAGCCGCGCTGTGCAACTCGAGTGCACTGCGAGATTATGCGATTGTGTGCGTCCGTAGAGGTCATGCCTCAGGCCTGCATTATAGATAGGTATTTCATACGTCTATGGAGCTTTATGTGAACTTTGATGGACATGGAAATCTGCATTTTTGTTGTTTCCTTCACCGTTTCAAAAAGACTTGCGTTCCTCCGGTGGGAACCGGGTCCAGCATCTTCTACATAGAAGGCAACCGTTTTGTCAATTAGGCTTTTAATAATCTTCGGAAACTGTCAAAAATCATCATCATCTTTATCGTCTAAAGGACGTTTAATGCTAAAAAACTCTCCTGCACTCTATGACAGTGTTGGGCAAAATTTAATTGTTCAGGCAATTAAAGATTGACAATTAATCAATTGTCAATTGCGAAACAGCAATTAACAATTGATTAATTGTTAACAATTGATTAATTGTTAATTGCTGTTCTCGCAACTAACAATTAATTAATTGTTAATCGCGTATATCTACAATTAACAATTGAAAAATTTTCAATCTTTACAATGTTTTTGATTAACTATTAACAATAAAAACTGACAATTATGATAAATTTTTAGGGCGAGTGAGTGCGTGGGGAGTGAGTAGGGATGAGTGGGGGTGAGAGAGGACTGAGTGGGGAGTGGGTGGGGAATGAGGGGGAGTGAGTGTGGGGTGTGTGGGGAGTGAGTGAGGACTTAGTGAGCGAGTGAGTAAGTGAATGCCTCCGTTTCCGAATATAGCATGGACAATGTAGTATTTGGGATGCTCTCGTAACGAATATGGCAGTCATTTCCAAATTCAAGATTTTCCAAATTGGGAGTGAGTGGGAAGTGAGTGGGGACTGAGTTGGGATTGAGTGGGGAGTGAGTGGGGAAGGAGTGGGGAGTGAGTGGGAAGCCGTCTTGGATTTAGAAATAAATGCTATATTCGTAATTAGCACCCCCAAATACCTCGAAAACGTTACCAACTTGCCATTATGTGAAAAGTCGTGCCTGTCATCCTGGATTTAGAAAGCAGTGCCATATTCGTTACGAGAGCACCCCTAATACTATATTGCCCATGCTATATTCGACCACGGAGGCACTCACTCACTCACTCACTCCTCCCTCACTCCCCACTCACTCCCCACTCACATTCCACTCACTCCCCACTCGCTCCCCACTCACTACCCATTATTTGAAAAATCGTGCCCGCCATTTTGGATTTAGAAATGAGCGCCGTATTCGTAATGACACTTTTATTTGGTAGTTTCGGTTTTAATTGTTAGTTTCAATTGTTTCTTAGGTCAATTATTAAAATTAATTGTGACGTTGCAATTGATTTTAATTGCAATTAAATCAATTGCAATTAATTTTTTGATTCGATGATGATGATTTGATTAACGCCCAACCTTGCTTTACTTATGAGGACACAATTCTGAGCCGCCCAACCGCAACCGATGGCTCCACTAGAATTTCTCACTACTTAGTGCAGGAGTGGGCAATCAAAATTTCACAGAGGCCAGAATTAAAAGAAATGCATTTTCTTATGAAATAGTTTTTAAAATGTTTACGTTGTGATATGTTATTTTATGTGTACCTAGGTATTATTCTAAAATATTATTTGATATTTTGGGTGTCGATAAAAACGAAACTAAAGATATATTTCTGAGGGCAATACACTCCTACTTTAACGTCCCTTACGTTGGTGGGCTGGATTAAAGCCCTTCGCGGGCCGGTGGGCTGTACTTTACCCAACACTGATTTGTTGATAAGTTTTATCACCGTCGTTGTGCTATGGTATTTAAGACGACACCCGTGTCCAGCAGTACGATACACAGCTAAATATTGTAAAATCGATACCTGAGGTTGATAAACGACGCTCCTGTCCGTTGCACTGATTTCAACGGTCAAGTTCTTCAGATGCCGCTCCATAGGGTCTAGCATGGCCCAGAGCGTGACGATCATCCCGTCGATGACTAGCAATGCACAGACAAGGGATATCAGAGGCGTGTCTTGGAGAAGTTTGGTCTTGCACACACCGCTGCGGTTGCTGAAAATTAATTTAAGAAGTTCAGAAATTCCGCGCGAGAAACTCAGCATTTGAAACTAACGCGATATATTTTCGTCATTTTCCGGCAAGGATTTGAGAACAGTTTGATACAAAAATCTCATTACCTTCTTACATTTTACATGACTAGTAGTGTGACTTTCAAACGCGTATCGCAAGCGAACCACAGTCCGAGGGACCCATGAACAAATCATAAATTGGTTTTAGTTCTTGGAAACGGTCACTTTAATTGTTGCTTCCGTTTGGTCACAAGAGAATAAGAACAAAATACCGGTTTTAATAGTCAGATTTACCTTATAAATATCCGATGCACTCGATAAGTTTTCGCAAACATTGATCCGAAAGCTAATGAGAAACCAGCTGACAGGATATACACTCTACCCTGAAAAACCAAGCAGAAGAAACTACATGAAATGTTTATTAGAGACGGTATTGCAGTCCATTCTTTTTCTTGTTCCTGTTTTGGTAACTTCTGCCTGCTAAGATTGTGTAATCTTCTTATTGTATCGATGGCATACACTATTATGCTTGCCATCATGGTGAAAGAATTTGCTATTCGGCGTAAAGTAATCGCCGATTGTTGCCCAGAGTATGCTAGACGTACAGGACAGGAATGGTACCTACATCATGCAGGGAAGCTCCTGTCGTGCACCCCTTTAATTATGTTTAAAATTGAAAACCAATTTTTTTGGTGAAGCCTGGTCTAGCAGTCAGCAATGATAATCTGTCTGATGTGAGGAATAAAATAAGTGAAACTTTCGTAGAGTTATTCTAGGGCCATGGACTTACTGTACACATAGCAGAGAAAGGCACGAAATGAGGAAGTGTGGCGCTGTCGACGCCGAGAAGCGCTACTGCGGTGTACACGAGTACACACCCGATCAAAGTCATATTGTTTAGTCGGGGAGACGACAGCTTTATTGATCTGGAACAAGTAAATTTAATAGCTTGGTCAGGATTGCATAAAATATGTTCGTAAGTAAATGAAGAGGGTGGGTCTATATTCCACCAAAAGGCACTGATTGTAAGTACGGGTTTTACAATGAGTTTAAAATACACGTATGCTTAGTTGCACACACGAACGAACAGAGAGAACATTTTTTAGAAAGGAATGTAAATGACTGAATAATAAACAAGGCAGTTAAAAATTGTTTTATTGTCGTATTGGTATTTCTATAGTTTCGCGGATTTGTGGAGGTCCCTCTAGTAACAGTTAGTTGTTTGTGTTCATGAGTAGAATAACACCCTAAAACGTCACAATAATTTTATTTTTTCATAACAATAATACATCATTTCATTGTCTCAAACAGTGTAGGCGAAAATAAAATATTTACCTGGGATCGTGCTGCATTCTTAACAAATAACTGTTGCTTGCTATACCTACAAAGAATAAGAATTTAAACTCGTATAAAATAAGAGGGGAAAGGTGTGCAAGATGATCCTTGGAGGTAAGATGATCCTTTTCAATTGTAGCGAAACTAGTAACATCATCTAGATATTTTCTTCAGTAAAATGTAGGTCTCAATGTGCCCTTTCATCAGTCAATTCGTAATAGCGATGTGAATGACAAGTTCATTTTTGTGGAAAAGAACAAAAATTGTGTGAGTTTGATCTAAGGTAAAGCTGATTAAAAGGTTAACCAACTTCCATTCTAAGCAATCAATTGCTAAGATTTTTGTGTTGGTGCATTGACTTACAAATAAAGTTGGTGGCTTTGTATAATGCTCTATTTACTTTTTTAATGGCGTGGTAACAGTAGACAGCATACATGTTATTTTGCCGAACAAAAAATAAAAATAAGTAAATTGGGGCAAGACGATTATGGTTTTGGTGTACGAGATGATCCGTGGAGATCATCTTGTACTGTATATATTGTTAACGGACTATTTTTAATGTATATGTTTTTCTGAGTACTGAAACCTCTTAATTAAATAGATTGCAATACGAATAAAATAGTAGAAGACTGGATTTCGTTTACATGATCGATCTCGATTAATAACAAGTATAAATGCTTTTTCTTGTTTTATACCAGGCCGCGTAATTGTAAAAGAAAAACCATTCGTGGTGGGTGATCGGAAGATTATGATCTAAAGAACTAGAGGCGTAAAAAGTAGGATGCCACATAGATCGGCAAGTAAATAGTTACCAGCAGGTACGCGTTAATGTCATTAAAAAGACGGGCTAAAGGTAAAAATAAAGGGTCTGTCAGTTCAATGAAATATTTAGGTGCAAAAAAAACACTGTTTTCATCAGATGTGTTAAACAGGAAATCGAGCTCGTAAAGTACATTAAAGAAATGGAGACGTGGATAGTAACTTGCCATAAAAAACAATATCGCCCACCCTTAGGTACCTGTAAGATATAAATTAATTAGGATTATTTGTTCTCGAAGTTCCGTAATTGTTGTTTCATATACCTAGATTACATAAGTGAGGACTTTGTAAAGTTTAAAAAGTTGTTGTTTTCATTTGTTTCTACCAAAACCTAGAGATTTTCCTAAATAGAGGCAAGGTGATTCCCTGGATCATCTTGCCCATACACTTAGGATCATCTTGGACACCGGGGTGTCCAAGACGATCCCTTAGTAGCATTTTAAAATGATTCAAATATAATAAAAGATCAAAAAATAAAACGTTTTTAGTAAGACAACACGTAAATATATAAATTTTCTATCATTCAACGCTTTTACATCTGCTGTAAGCTGAATATCTTTTAATCTACCACCATTCTCCCTTAAGTACCAGATGATCCGGTACACCTTTTCCCTACATTATTGCAGAGGCCGGGAAGGAAGGGATTGTTGGACGAGTATGAGCTACACCGCCGAGTGCCAGCAAGGTTTTGTATTAATACGAGTCAATCCCCGCTCCCGCCGAAGCATGTATAGTGCTTTTCTCAAACAATGCGAGGAAGAAGGAATAACTCATTTGACGTAGCCATCACATATGCTTTATTATATTTATTATATCAAGGATACGAGTTTACATCCACACAGTTTTTTTATTATACGCTATAAAGCTATCAATTTTTATTTACATAAGTAAGTAAGTAAGTTTACTCTTGACCATAATTAATTTGTAAAGTCAGGATGAGGTCAACGATAGTTTGCGATTGCCAAGAACACGCCTGTTTAGCTATTAGTTCGCTTCGTTTAAACTTTCAATGACCAGAAGATTAGCAGCTACTTCCGTCAAGAATAAGCTTAGTCATTCAAAGGAAATGTTACCAGGGCATGATGAAATTTTCTATCTTTGACTATATTTAGTTTTTTTTAACCTTTACAAATGAGCATGATGAACACAGACGCAGAGACAGTAAGCTTCTTATTCATAAATTTATAACAAAAATTTAATGATCATGTCATTTTTAACCGACTTAAAAAAAGGAGGAGGTTCTCAATTCGACTGTATGTTTTTTTGTAAGTATATTACGCGATAACTCATTTGTGAACCGATTTTGATGATTCTTTTTTTTTGTTGAAAAGAGGATATCTCAGTATTGGTCCCATTTAAATTTGAAGGAAATATTCCACCTCTAAGGGTGGGAAACTAGGAGATGAATCCGGTTTCGCGCACACACCGAGGTCGGTTTTTTTAGAACTCTGTACTAAGATTACTCTAGTTTTAACTGTGAATAAGCCTGCAGTCATTATTTGTGGTCTTAGTGGTTGATAGGGTTGCTTATATAGTTATTCGTTTTTCAAACGAATGAACCAATTTTGAAAACATTTACGCCACTCCTCCGTGACAATCTATGAAACATATTTTTCATACTCTTCGACAGCCTCTTCAGGTGATGAAAATCGTTGATCGCGTAACTGGTTCTTAATTTTTGGAAATAAATAAAAGTCACAAGGTGCCAGGTCGGGACCGGGATGGCTCATAAGGTCAACGTTGTTCACCTTCAAAAATTCATTTGTCTGTCTGGCCGTGTGAGAACTGGTATTATCGTGGTGCTAGATAATACGGCGTTTATTTTTACGGAGTTTGTCTGTAACTTTCGGCAAATAAATGGTCGTGTACCAATCACTATTCATGGCATAACGATTCTCCAAAGCAACAGTAGCCACGTGTCCAGTTTTATTAAAAAAAGAAGCAATCATTCGTTTAGAGGTACTTTGCACGCGCGCCACTTTGGTCGGTTTCGGCTCATCTCGAAAGGCCCATACGCTCGATTGCTGTTTTGTTTTGGGATCGTAACTATAAATCCATATTTCGTCACCTGTTACTATGTCCCACATCAAATTTGACGCCCCTTCGTTGAATCCGGTAAGCATGGCGTCGTGCCAAGTGACGCGATCCGATTTTTGAGCCTCAGTCAAATTGTGTGGGATCCATCGAGAGCACAGCTTTTTGACATCCAAATGTTTGTGTAGTATGCCCGAATCTCATGGTATGTCACATGCCTGTCTGTTTTGATCATACGGCGCACAGCATCGATGTTGTGTGCTTCATCGCCAAAAGCAGTTTGAAGCCGAGCGAAGCTCCGCTGAGCTGTTAGATTACACCTAAAGTAGTAGAAAATCATACTACGAAAATTTTCACGAGTCAAATCCATGGTGATGTAGACAACCAATTTCTAAAATGACACCACAATGTAAAAACAAGTGACAGTCAGATGAAACAAACCGTATTCTACAGCCAAACAGTTCCATTTTTCAAATTTTGTAATTATTTTTTAAATATTGTTTATGTAAGTGGCCAGTTCCGGAAACTTACAGTACGCCCTATGTAAATAGCCTACTAGAGTTATATAACCTTCGTATGTTATGCAATATAAGTAGTTTACTTTGCCTATTATATGGTACTACAGACCTGTCCTTTTTATAACCTCTAGTTCGGTTGAATACCCTTAAATGTTAAGTAATATAAATGTCGTTTCTGAAATTAGTAACTTTGTCATACAAAGTAGTTTAGGTTTGTATAAAATCAAACTCAAATTATTAATCACAGTTTTTATGTTCGCCGTCCTACCGTGCGCCACCTTTGTGTTGTTCAGGATATCGTTTTCCCAAATAATTTTTACTGGTTTAGGGGCCCTGGCCCCCTCTGCACCCCCACGCTACGCCACTGCACTCTACTTCGGCGAGAACGAAGGAGCCCCCAGTTCATTCGTGTACTTGCGCGGATTCACTCCTGCAGCATACAATTCTGGTAGAAGTCTCCTGTAGCGTCCTGAACCTGGGTGCCCTCAGGCCTGCTACTTGAATATTTATACGGGTTATGCCTTCATCTTTCCTTTCGTCCGATGGCGCAATCAAGGTCATCACTGGCCAATTGCAAAATGTCCTTCATAAAATAAAAGTATGCAACGTCGAAATCTCAGCTGGTAGCAAACACAACAAATCAAAGTAGACCTGTAAGGGTTGCAAGTCGACCGCTTCCACCTCGTGTGGCGGTTACCTGTCGATCGATTACAGAAGTTAATTTGTTATATTTTACCGTCCTAAGCTGCTACAATAAATCTTGTACAATTAGCGGGCGTCGGTTACCTTCCTTAACGCCCGTCTGCTCGGCAATATAAATTTAATTAATATAGTTCTCGTAGAATGTGGAATTAAGTATAATTTTTTTGCAAAAATACAATTATGAATGTACAAATTTACCATTTACATTTATTTATTTCAAACATTTTTAATCGGGCTACCTGTAAGAGCTAAACGGGTCACTACCACGGAATTTTGTCATCCAAGTACGCAGAAGCTGTACGATGTATAACCTTTAGAAAGTTTTTGTGTGGTAAATGGTAAATTTTGAATATCAACCGGAAGCTTATTATAGAAGCGTATGTATACATTGCCCCTTAAATGAATTTGTGAAGACGACTGTCAAGAATAGAGATGATTTGGATACCGGATCCGGCGAGCACCTAGACCGGATAGCCGCGTATCCGGCCGCCGGATTTCTGACTCACTGCCGTAAACATGTCGCGACCGGTTTACAGCGCACATCGCCGTGATTGATTAGTGAATGATTGCACTTTCACATTGACGATTTGATATGTTGTGGTCACTTGTTTTTTATAAAAACGATTAATTTATTTGTATTCATAAATACATAACAGAAAAATGTTAAATTTAAAAAGTAACAAATTTGGCAATATTTTAATATCTGTGCTGTTTGTTTGTTGTGGCGAATGCAAATTTCTCGCGGTGGAGAAGGAAAAAAGCAATTATATCAGTATTTACAAGTATAAGCTTAGCACTTGATACCTTCGTTATTATTTTTTTCAATTTTATTTCAATAATTAGTTTGTGATCTAACTAATTTCAAGACTTGATACCACAGATTCGCCAAAAAAAATTTTACCTACTTACACGTTCTATTATTGTTGGTAGGTACACATTGTATGTGTAGATAGTTTAAATTGATCATGATTGCACCCCTTTTTCGCGATGCTTTCGTTTGGTCGTCTTGCAATAACAAGTAGTACTTAACATTTAACAAAGTTTATATGAAAATTTGAAGCTGGTCTCGTTTATGAAAATAAATAGAACCAACTTTTACCACTTAATTCAGAAAAATTGGGTTTCATCCACCATAATTTGCCTTTATTAAAATTTGAGTACCAAATTTACTGGTAACGTTATCTAACTTCATAGTTCTTTCAGTCGGAAAGTAATAAACAAATTGTCAATGACTTGCGTATATCCTATTTCTATCATCTTTAATCAATAAATAAATTTATTTATCGTACTGATTATGAATTTTTCTCAGGTTTAAACATCCGGTATTCGGCCGGATATTGTGCTACTATCCGGTATCCGGCCGGATAGTAAAAATAGGCCGGATATCCCTTTCATTTCTAGTCAAGAACAGTCAGTTTAATTTTATTTCTCGTTACATTACTTTAGACTTAACATTAATATGTTAAGTCTGTCACTATTTTTTATAAATAATAGTGATATTTTTATTTCATGCTGAAAAAAATTATTTATCTATAGTAAATGCGCACTTTTTTAAATAAACGATATCTTTTTTATGTTTGATATATATTAATTGTTCCATCTATATTAGTTGATCTACGGATAAATTATAAACAAACTGCAATCAAGGTTGTTACCTTACCTATTATTATGTTTAAACATACTAAATTAATATTTGGTATTAAAAAATAATATTTGATCCTTTTTTTGGATCATTGGTCATTTCTTTTAACGATTGATGGCATTTATAACCAGTATGCCAATTTGCTTGTTTTTTGCTTGAAATTTGTATTGTAGGAAGCCAATTTGCTTGCGTTTCCGAACATGTGTTCAGGTTAGAGTTTTAACAATAAGTATGCTTAGATACTTTTTAGTCGTAGCGCCATCTATGAGAAATCTTTGAAAGTTTTATCGTATTATATAGAATTTTATGTCTCAGAGAAAGAGGATCAATCATTAAAAAAGACCGTTTACGTCCGTTTGCCTGCTGCTTTTGCAAAATTAAAAAATAAATCATTTAAATACATGCCTAAATAAATTACTGTTCTTATATAAATTTCATTTTCATAAATGTACTGTGGCGCTACTGTGAGAATGTTAATTTCATAAATGCCATGAGTATTCCAGTTTTCATTTATTGCGCAAATACGACACTCGACTCTCGAAAAAACCATTACTGAATCGCTCGCCGAATCCTTTGAGCGAACTGAAGTGCACACGGACCAATAAACACTGTTTAAGGCGCAATCTCATGTTTAATATTATATGAGCATTTCGGAATCTAGAACACGAGTAGGCGTTACGCTTCCCAATGGAAATGAGACCTTCAAAATATACGTACTGCAGTAAAATTTAGATTATAATCAGTAATGCTATTTTTGGTATAAGACTAGCCAACCCGAATTGTTTGTTGTTTGAAAAACCCGTTTGTTTCATCCTGGATCAATAATTGTGATTTAGTCTTAACATTACACCTTCACCCTGGACACATTCCATTTTTTTTTTATAATAACGTACACACTCAACATAGCCCCACACTAGGGAAACCCTGTGTCGCGGGTGCCATGGACACACACGTAGACAACCACAAATTACACCCAAACTCACGAGAGAAATAAATGTTGGCCATACAAATATTTCTCCCGACCCGGGAATCGAACCTGGGACCTCTGCATAGCGGCATGGTAACCGTTCGGCCACAGAGGCAGTTAATATGACGAAGAAAAAAGAGTCCCCAAATTGTTGTGTATGACATGAATGAGGACGTACGTATACCGATGGAGTTTAAACGAAACGATTCTATCAGATATGAAACTGCCTCCGTGGCCGAACGGTTACCAAGCCGGACTGCCGCGCAAAGGTCCCAGGTTCGATTCCCGAGCCGGGAGAAATATTTGTATGGCCTACGTTTATTTCTCTCGCGAGTTTGGGTGTAATTTGTGGTTGTCTATGTGTGTGTCCATGGCACCAGAGACGCAGTCTCTAGTGCGAGGTTATGTTGAGTGTGTGCGTTATTTTATTATGTATCTGCTATGTGTGAACAATTTAGACAAGTTGGCGGATGCAACAGCGTCTTGATTTTTCCGTTATCGAGGGAAGCCAAGACGCTATATAAATTGGTGAATAGAGAGACCTGCTTCAATTCTATATTCTCTCTCAACTTTACTACCTAAATAATTACATGTATAGAGCGGCGTAGTCGCATTTTGTGACAAAGCTCTTTAAATAAAGGAAAAAAAAAACCAGTAATGCCATTATACAATAAGCGTCATGCAGTATTTAAAAAATAAAATAGAACTTTTGGAAGACGCACTGTGAATACAAATAAGTTTTGTGCAAAACCGACAAGACTAATTCCAAGTAGAGTTACCTCTTTATTTAATAATCTCAACGTTATTCGTACGAAGCATTACGCTTCCACATTTATGTGGCGAACGGCTATGGAGTGGAATTCCTGCCTGCAGACTTAATCCTTAACGCTATAACTTGGGCCTTTTCGAGACGAGAGTGAATAGGCATTATTTAGGTATGCATGCTCCCCCGTCGACTTCATCGTCACTTTTCATCAGGTGATATGGAGGTCAAGTTTGTACTTATACATTTTTTATAAAAATACCGTTGTATAAACGTAAAAATGTTTAGTAGAGTAGTTAAGAAGTCGCTTTATCGACGTGGAATTGCATTAAGCCGGTCGGAAAAAACTTTATATCCTTATTTCATTAAGAGCGACTGAAAAACGAAATGACGTTGTGAATTTTGTACAACGCGTCTCGAAATAGGTTGACAACGAATCCTGCTTTCGATTTTCCTATCGCGTCCGTACGCAGTCGATGATCGGCGTCAACTCCCGAATGGCTGCGTTGATGCTAAAACCGGTGCGTCTACGCCCGAACGGCTTCGTCGACGTATTTCGCGTTGATTGTGACTTTATAATTGTATTTGTATTTCTTTAATTACGGTAATAATAATAATAATGTGCCATATAATCACGAAATGTAGTAGAGAAAAAGAGAATTCCCTGTACTACTCATATGCTTAATGAAATTCACTACGAGGCGCTATCTAGAACATCCAGACCAGAACCAGTTTTGAAAAGTTCATTCCCAAATTGGTGCTACTGGTAGTTGAACCAGGGACCTCCTCATACACAAATTACTGGGCCACTGAGGTGGCCAATAAAAACACCGAACATAAAACGAAAATGGGAACCTTACCTTCGTTTACTATAATGCAAGTTGAAAACCAGAAAGGCCAGTGCTAATAACACTCCAGCGGCTGCTAAAGATGCCACTGCCAGTCTTGCAGGCGCCCAAACAGAGTCCATGCGTAGCACAAGTACCCTCCTGGCAGCTGGTATGCCTCCTGCCCATTGTGGTCGCACACAGTCTTTACATGCCATCGCGTGCCCGTGGGTGTACAGGGCCACTGTCCTTGGACGGCCACCTGGGTGATACAATTAGGTAAATTTTTGTTATGCTGACACAGAATACGGTTAAAAACTATTTTAAACAAGAAAAAATAGCAGGAAACATAAGAATATCTGTTCATGGAGTTTATAAAGCACACGGCTGTCTAAGTTTGGATTGATACAGAACTATTGCGAAAACTTTTCAAAATGTAACTGTTATACATCCGTCTAGAGAAAAACTAGCTACATTTCAACTCTGAAATAGGGGCGTGCTGTGTCATGTGAAAAGATTTTGTTTGAAAGAGTGGCGGTAACTTAATGGGAGACCGTTTGCTTCTCAATTGAGAATTTGAATTCTGTGGCAGCATGTACCTGTTGCTCTAATTTCTAACTTACATGTACATTTGTTGATGTTTAGTAGCTCACGGTTAAGGAAAACGTGTTGAAACTTGCACGGTATAGACAATTCGCAACCAATGAAAAATGTGAGAAGCATCTAACCCGCACTTGGCCAGAGGCGGTAAAAAAATGAAAAAAATAAATTATTCTTTTTATTTCGGTGTAAATTCATTAATAATATAACATTACATTACATTTAAATGTGATTTTATTAACAGAAAATCATTACTAATGAATTAATTAATTGAGAATTGAATTTAAGGCACAACTAATTTATATTTTACAAAATGAGTCTGCTAAAAAAAAGTGGCACGTAGCGCATATTGTTCTTACAATAATATTTGCCGATACTCTCAGTCTCGTAAGAAAAGATCAATGTCTCATAAGTAATATGGCGAAAAAAAAATTTACATGTCAGACGCACTACACCGCCACGGAAGCCGCAGCATAATGGTTTGAAAGTATAGATTTCTTAGTAAAAGTTAAAAGTTATTTTCCAATATTCTCTGAGTTTACTTTCCAGGTTTTGTGAAGAGAAATTCCAACGTCGTCTGTAAGGCGTCTGCCGAGCGGTAGCAAAACTACGCGACCTTTATGTTTAGTGAAACCGGCACAAGGTTTTTAAAACTCCACGAAAGTGGATTTATTACATTTTCTTGTTAAAGTTTACTTATTCACTCGCGACGGAAAGTAATTTAGCTACCTATTGAACAGAACGTTTAGAACATTTTAGGAAGTTACTACATTTATAGACACGGTGATAATAAGCTGAATATCCAAGTGATAATAGCGAAAAAGTCGAGCGTTTCGCGACAGTGGTCTGATCAGGCCCTCGAAGTAATTACTGTTACAGAAATAGAGACGAAATGTCATTTAATTTGTTTGAAAACTATTCTGCCAAATCATTACGGTGACAGCTGCGCTCCGATTGGCCAACCTCAATTCGAAATAATGACAGGTGTTGTCAATTGTTTCACTTCAAAAATACCACTTTAACTTTTAACGTCCATTATAGCGCTTTGCTATAATGGACGAAAATTGAAAAATTACATATTTCATATTATAGATGAAATGTGATTCCGTTTGTTTTGTAATTAGATGTGTTGCTGTTTATCACACACCACCGAATGGAACAACCCTCCTTAGTTAGAGATATTATTATCTTCATTACGATAAATACCATTGACTTACAAATAAATGGACGACGGGTCTAATACAAAAACCACGAAAAAAATGTCCCAAGACAACCTATTCGAAATTTAAATTGTAATGTCATCGCAGTATCGCGCTGTCAGTCGAACAAATGAAGACTAAAGCGGAGTTTGGCGCTCTGTATACGATTTTAGCGCCTTACAAGTGCGGACACTTTTTAGCGCGGACCCGACGTCCATATAATTGTAAGTCAATGATAAATACAGATGATTTTACATTATGAGACTGAACATGCACAGAACACGTAAGAAAACAGTACAGTAGTAGTAGTCTCTTCTTCTTACATGATAGACGTTTTCTATAAATTTAATCTGGAAAGTAAAAAAAGAAGCAACAGACACAGAATATTGATGTAAATAATTTCGTGGCGAAAACAATACTAACAAAAAAACAAAGAATCCAAACCTTGAATCTGATAAAAGGCAGACGTCCCTATTCTGTCAGCGCCATTGAAGGAAACAGGGCCCTGAAAAAGAATAAAGTCTATTTTATATAAAAGTCTAAATATTGTCCCTGTATTTTCAATTTCCGAAGCTGTATTTACGAAGTAATTCCTTTCAATTTCTAAAGGGTATTATTACAAAGGATGACTTGCTTTTTGTGTTCAAAATTTTATTCTAATTTCTCAAAACATAAGTTTCATTTTCACGATAAGTCACAATAAGTAAAAGATGATCTTGGTGTTGGTAATACTGTACCCTCGGAGTAATAAGGGCACATCTGCAAATTGACAACTTTTCATGAGAGGTTTCATGATTCTACGAACGAAATAAGGCTGGTTACACACGGCGCCGTAACAACAGCGACACCGCCGCCCGCCGATGCAGCTGCTGCTCCGCAGTTGTAGCCGCCCTTGCATTTATTTACACACTTGAAACTGCGGCGGCGATGGCGAGCGCTGCCTTGTCTACTAGGGCATTAAGAGAAAAAATATCGAGATTCGGTGCGGTCTCGAAAATCCCGGGAAAAATGAGATGTTCGAGACTATTTTAAAAGTAAATTT